GTGTCTGCCTCGTTCTGGGTCTCATACCATCTGGGTTCCCCGCGTAATCGTAACAGTTTAGCTTCTTTCTGCCTTTTCAGCCTTTTTTTTTTTTTGCTAATTTCATTTTTTTTTTTTTTTTTCTAATTTTCTAATTTTGTTATCATTTCTGTTTATTGCACCTACTTCAGCAAATGTCTTCTTTCTGTTTTCTTGTGCTAACTTAAACTTGTTCTTCCGTTTTTAGCATGTTTTTTTTTTTTTTAGCTAATTTTAGCTGTTTTTCAGCAAGTTCTTCTACAATAAGCATTCACACTGCATTTTTGTAGGAAATGCTATTTCTTGTGCATTTTTTTTTAATTCCAGCATCTAATTGCCTTTCCCCCCCATCATTTTAAATGGAATTTTGTTAGATAATTTTCAGGCAATTCCACTTAGTTTTTGTGAGCATTTTACACAGAACACCCGCCACCACTTTTTTTTTTAATACTTTGTATGCTCATGTTTTAACGTCACAGCTCAGCAGATCTGCTTATTAATCTGTTTGAACTTGATGTGTTTTCTTCCTGAGCATCCGGCAAACAGAGCAGCTCTGTGGAAGATCCCAATGTTTAAATGACTTTTAGGGAAAATGTTGATTTTTGTGTTACATTTAGCAGTGCTTCTTTTGAAAATAACATTAATGGAGCAAAACTTTACTGAACCATTCTGTCCAGTATTTGGGAACAAAAATGTAAAAAAAAAATTCGACCAATTCAGTGTTTTAATGGCTTATTCGATTTGAGTACAACTAAATTAATGTGTCTGTGTAAATAAAATTTAGTGTTTGTCCTTTTTCTTGGGTGTATCGACCCACAACACAATTACTGTCATTGTTTGCAACAGAACAGCAGCTTTTATTGATGTTTATTTGCATTTTATTACTAAAAGATTGAATTTTTTTTGGAAGGTTGAGGTCTTTTTGTTCTCTCTGAACACTTTATTCTCACAATAAAGGCTCTTACAAATGGTACCAATAATTTAGTTTTAGTTTTAAGTCCAGTTGTTCTTTCAGTCAACAGCTGCAAATCTATTGCCATTTTACAAATAAATAATAGTTTTTGTTTCTATCTATACCTAAAATAAACTAAGTATATTTAATCTTATGGTTAGCAGATAACAGTTTCAATTTTTATAGCAGATTAAGTTGTTGAATATCTTTAAACTTACTTGTTTCATCTATTTTGAGGATAAAGTAAGGTTAGACAATAAAACGTTTTTGTTTTCTGTAGCAAACAATTAAGGTACTCTGTATTCCTAATTAACATGTTCATCTTTGTGTTTTGTCTACTTTTTTTTTAAGGCAGCTAAAGATATATGGATAGTTTATTGGAAAGATGGCAGCTTGAATATTATGTAGTATTCCGTTATTTAAAAAAAAGAACTACTGTAATTAAAGGCCTTTGTTTGTTTTTCTGGTTGTTCTTTTCGAAGGGAAGTACTTTGGTCGATTTTCTCAATATCGACTGCTTTCTATTGCAGGTACCAATCTTTAGCAAAAAGGAAGAGGTTTTTGGATACTTGGCCAAATTCTCGGTTCCTGTCATGCGATCAGCTTGGATGATCAAGATGACATGTGCATATCATGCTGCTATCACAGAGACAAAAGTCAAGAAGAGACATGTGATTGATCCTTGTATAGGTAAGAAAGTGACGTTTTGCCTCAAACTGTTCGTACTTCCTGTTTTTGTGATAGTCTTTGATAAACTGGATTTTTGTGGTTGTTATTTTCACGTGTTTTTGTGCACTTTTGTAGAATGGACCCAGATTATTACTAAGTATCTGTGGGAGCAGCTTCAGAAAGTGGCAGAGTTTTACAGACAGTTTCCCAGTCAGGGCTGCAGCTCCCCGCTTCCAGCCATGCCGGCTGACGTGGAGACCGCCATGAAGCAGTGGGAGTACAACGAGAAGCTCGCCATGTTCATGTTTCAGGTCTGTTCAGCACAAAAACTGTGCCAGGAATTAAATTTTCCAGTTGACGGAAACACTTTGGTTTGAGTTTAAAGTTATAGCTATGCTAAAATTGTGTTAATTTCAATGTAAAACTTTTTGCGTATTTCAGCAGGATTGTTTTTCAGTCCACTGATGCACTCTAACAACATTAGCTATCAGATAAATGGTTTTATAAGATATCCTGATGCATGCTCAATAATCCAGGTAGAAAAATCTAAAAAAGTTAAATCTGGTCCTCTGGACATTCAAAAAAAACAAAACAAAGCAAATCAACAAAAAAAAATGTAATAACGTTTTGTCTCTCATCCGAGAGACTTCCTCATTCTGAGGTGCTGTATTCAGCTCAGTCTCTTAAATAGCACCGTCTCAGAGTGGATCAACCAGTTTGCTGCTGACAACCAAAACCAGCTGATCACATGCTCAAGAAGGACCATCAGCCTAACAATGGATCATTAGCACACTGTTGGCCAAAAGAGAGCCTTGACGTCCTATTCAGGGACACCACCAAGTCATTGGTTCAGGTATGTTGACGACACCTGGGTTAAAATCAAATCTCAGTAAGTCCAACATTTTACTCAATACATCAACTCTGTGGATAAATACATCAAGTTCACACGAGAAGATGTAAAAAATGGCAGGTTGGCTTTCTTGGACTGTGAGGTCTCAGTCTCTGATAGAGGACATTTGCAAACTGAGGTGTACCGCAAACCCACCCACACAGACCAGTATTTGCAGTTTGACTCCCATCACCCTTTGGAGCACAAGTTAGGAGTCATCAGGACTCTGTATCACAGAGCAGACAGCGTCCCCACTAGCTCAGGAGCCAGGCAGAAGGAGAAATCCCACACAAGACAGGCTCTAGAGCAATGTGGATATCCTAACTAGGCCTTCCAGAAAGCAGAGAAGAAACCCAAACAGGACTCCAGTCAGCCAACAGGTGAAAAGGAGGAACCCAGACCCAGACCAGTGGTCATTCCATATGTTGAGGGAGTATCAGAGAAACTGAGATGTTTATTTTCTAAACATAACGTCCCAGTGGCTTTTAAACCCCAAAATACATTACGGCAAAGACTGGTTCATCCCAAAGATCCAGTCCCCCGGCACAAACAGAGTAATGTTGTGTATGCTGTTCAGTGTCAGGAGGGCTGTGATCAGTCTTACATCGGGGAAACTAAACAGCCACTGGCCAAAAGGATGGCCCAGCACAGAAGATCAACATCATCAGGCCAGGACTCTGCGGTCTACACTCATCTCCAGGCCAGCGGTCACTCTTTCAAGGATGAAGATGTTCACATCCTGGACAGAGAGGAACAATGGTTTGAGAGAGGAGTAAAGGAGGCCATCTTTGTGAAGATAATTTGTCCATCATTAAACAGGGGTGGAGGCCTCCGGGTTCAACTGTCCCCCTCTTACAATGCTGTGATTGCTAGTATCACTCAGCCCTCTGTGAACAGTAAACAGCCATCAGTGTGCTAATGATCCATTGTTAGGCTGATGGTCCTTCTTGAGCATGTGACCAGCTGGTTTTGGTTGTCAGCAGCAAAACTGGTTGATCCACTCTGAGACGGTGCTATTTAAGAGACTGAGCTGAAAACAGCTCCTCAGACTGAGGAAGTCTCTCGGATGAGAGACGAAACGTTTCTACATTTTTTTGTTGATTTGCTTTGTTTTGTTTTTTTGAATATCCAGAGGACCAGATTTAACTTTTTTAGGTTTTATAAGATATTTGCTAAATATTGACTGGAAAATTAAAACATGGCCTGCTACCGGTACTTTATTTTTTAAATATTATATTTGGTGTTATTCATTCATTCATTCATTCAATCTTTATTCAAACAGATAAGTCCCATTGAGCCTCAAAGACTCATTTACAAGAGAGACCTGTGTGGACAGACAAAAAGTGGTGAAAAATAACACACAGGGTTTGGACATTAAAAAAAAAAAAATTCCTAACACGCTTTTATTCTCTGTTTTGCAGCCAAATTTGAACAACATACAACAAACTTAACATTAATTTTGTATCATGAATAAAAAATAAAGCTTTACATTTGTTCTGAGTTGGCAGGAAAGGGATTGTATGGATTCTGTTAAAAAAAAAAAAACAAGTATTGAAGATTGATATCGTCTTGAAAGTACCATATTTTGATTGACTTGTTGTGATCCTAATTTATTTCTTTTTTTCTGCAAAAACTGAGAAGTAGTGTGGGTTGATGTCTTCACAGTTTTCTAATTTTTTGAAATCCTGTTTTCGTGGGTTTCATGAGCTGTAAGCCCAAATTATGTAAAAATAAATAAATAAATGCTTAAAATTGTTTAAATTGAGGGCCCTGAACCTATCATCTCTTAAAGATTAACTTACTGAATGGAATTGTGGAAGTTAAACAACTTTTCCATGATATTCTAATTTTTTGTAAAGGGTCTGTATATAAATATGTGTAAGATAGAACTTTGATTTTTTTTTTTTTATATTAATATTAAATTTTATTTATTTATTTTACATTGTAACTCTGGATAATGCCTAAAAAAATTAGTTTAGATTTTGTTTTCTTTTTCATGTTTCCAAGTAAAACAAACCACATAAATTCAGTTTCAATTCAGTTTATTTATATAGCACCACGTCGCAGCAGAAGTCATCTCAGGATACTGAACAGAAACATTCATATATACCTGTGAATATATATTTTGTTTAAAAAGTTGACATTATTTTTCTGAGGAGCAGACTGCTTTAAATTTAACTCCATCACAGAACTCTCATCTTAAGCAAGCATGAAGGCAACAGTGGAAAGGGAAAAACTCCTGCATGAGAAAGAAACCTTTAGCAGAACCAGGCTCAGGACAAGCGGCCATCTGCTTTGACCGGCTGGGTTTGGTAGGAACATATACACAATGGCAGGTCAAGAATCACATGTAAATAGAAAGGGTATCAAATTAATTTTAACAATTTAAGGAAATGAGATCAGCTTGTCCTCCAGTAGTCTAAGCTTATAGCAGTGTAACAAGCCAACCCTAACTATAGGATTTATCAAAAAGGAACGTTTTAAGCCCACTCTTAAAACTGGACAATGCGTCAGACCTCTGGACAGAAACTGGAAGTTGGTTCCACAAGAGAGGAGCCTGATAACTGAAAGATCTGCCTCCTATTCTGCTCTTGGAAACTCTAGGAACCACAAGTAAACCTACAGTCTGAGAGCAAAGTGCACTGTTGGGAAAATATGGAACAATAAGGCTTTGAATATAAGATGGAGCTAGGTTGTTGAGAGCTTTGTAGGTTAGAAGTAAGATTTTGAATTAAATTCTGGATTTGACAGGGAGCCAATGGAGAGAAGCTAAAACTGGAGAGATATGATATCACCTACTAACTCCAGTTAAGACTTTGGCAGCAGCATTTTGGATCAACTGAAGACTTTTTAAGGAAGTATTTGGACACCCAGATAATAAAACAATAAATCATCAGAATTTGAAATTACTGAGCATTTTGAACAGAGCGAACTCATTTCTGATGACAGTTACCAGTAGATGTATTGGCAGAGTTGATAAGAGTGTGAAGTACGTAATGGCTTTGCATACAAAAGAAACAGCTCATGTTGCATTTAAAGACTGATAAATGAATCATTCCTGTGTAATTTCTGTATTTATTGTTTTGACAGATATAATTATCTCATGCGTCTTTGTGTGTTCAGGACGGGATGCTGGACAGACACGAGTTCCTGACATGGGTGCTGGAGTGTTTCGAGAAGGTTCGACCCGGTGAAGATGAACTTCTCAGACTTCTTCTGCCCCTCTTACTGCAGGTAAACACATCTGCATTCCCCCCAGCACTCGGCCACAAACGTATAACATTTAGGAAACATTTTCCAGCCCAACAGCCCTGGCCTGTGTTGACTCCGTCAAGCTTCCTCAGCTGTCAACCGTCTATCACGTTGTGCGTCTTCATCTGGCAGTGCTGACCTTTGCTGACGGCACCCACTGGGGCCCGCAGCCTCGCTTTTTGCTTCTCTTTTGAAAGCTTACTGGTGTTAATGGGCACTGAGTGCTGTGGGTAATGCTGTGAACCTCTCCTCTGTGCCACAGTACTCAGGGGAATTTGTACAGTCTGCTTACTTGTCACGGAGACTGGCTTACTTCTGCACACGTCGCCTCAACCTGTTGCTAAGTGACGGGAGCCTGGGCTCCGGCACAGGCGGGCACCCAGCACACGGCATCTTGACACAGCAAAGCAACGCCCTGCCCCCCACTCCAACCACCCAGCCAGCTGGAGGGAACCAGCCTCAGACACCTTTCACAGATTTCTACATTTGCCCTCAGCACAGGCCCCTGGTGTTCGGCCTCAGCTGCATGTTACAGGTGCTCCATTTTAGCTGCAACATTGATTAGGGAATGTGTCTAAATTCTGGAAATTAAAAAAAAAAAATCTGTCTTGTTTTTGTCAAATCAGAGCATAGTGCTGTGCTGTCCCAGTGCTTTGGTGTGGCATTACTCTTTAACAGACAGCAGAAATAAAACCGGTTCACCTCTGGACCTCCTACCCATCGCCCCCTCTGGTTTGCCAATGCCAGGAGGAAATACTGCCTTTACTCAACAGGTATCTCCTTCACTGTGTCTGTTGTTCTTTACTTTTTTGTATTTATTTACATAGCTGTACGATTATGTTATTCTTAAGTTTCCAATAAATGTTAGACACTGCTACAAAACATTCTGTAAATCCGTGAAGTACAGTTTATCTTATGGTCGAGTCAAGTCACGTTCATTTATAAAGCACATTTAAGAACAGCAGTTGCTACCGAAGTGCTTAACAATTTAAAAAAAATTGGCAGTAATTTAAAGAAAGAACAGAAATTAATTAAAAGTATCAAAAGAAAAATGTAAAGCACAAAACAATAAAATAATAAAGCAAATGTCACTGGGTTAAGTCAGTGAAAACAGATTTTCTTAAGAGATTTAAAAACAGGAAGTGAAGTGCAAATTGAACAAAAATAGGAAAAAAAAATAAAAGCTTCTGAATGCAAATTAATGTTTTTATCTGGAATGAAAAGAGTTGTGAGAAAAGAAAAACATCTGGGGAGATTGCATTTTTGTTTTGTGTAGCCACTCTTCATTAAGCTTTTGTTTCTTACATAAAGTAAAGATTGGGTTGGTTGTCTTATTAGATTTGTAGTTATTATGTAAATATGACGTTTTTATGAAGCCCATGTTTCGCTGCAGGTTCGTTCAAAGTTGCGAGAAATCGAGGATCAAATAAAGGAGCGAGGTCAGGCCGTGGAGTTTAGGTGGTCGTTTGATAAGTGCCAGGAGACAACAGCAGGTAGGAAACGTGCTCCTTTATCCTGACAGACACTTTTGAGAACAGCTCGAGATGATGTCGTCTTTTTATCAGGCTTCACCATTGGAAGGGTTCTTCACACCCTGGAGGTTTTGGACAACCACAGCTTTGAGAAGTCAGACTTTAACAACTCACTGGATTCACTGTATAACAGGATATTTGGTTCTGGACAGAGTAAAGATGGCCACGAGGTAAAATATTTGTTTTTCTTTTTGCATAAAATACAGCTGGAAACCTTTTCTAAAGGCTCCTACATGGAAAAAGTTACACTGATAAGAAAGCTATTGTCAACCATGTTATGATTAAATAAATTTAACAAACAGAGAAATGTAATTTTTAATGAAAATACTGTATGAATGTTTAGGGCTGAACAACTTGCTGAAATTTGCTGATGAAGCTGAATTGAATTGCTAACCATATAGAAGCATATTACTAGCTAAAAGCTTAAAGTAGCTAGACACTAGCTAAAAGCTAAAAGTAGTTAATTGCAGAATAAAAGCAGCAAAAGTTTTAAGTAAAATATAAATGTGGAGAAAGGCTAGCAAACTTAAAGCTAAAATATAGCAGAACAGTAGCTGAAAATTTAAAGTAAAAAAGGCATTTTAAAAGCTAACAGTATAAAAAGAAGACAAAAATAGAGCAATTAAACTAAAAACGTGTTTATGAAAGAACTGAAGGAGTTTCAAAATGTTACTTTAGAAAAATATAAACGTTAAAAAAACCTTAACGTAATCATAGCTAGGGATGGGTCAAATCCAATATCTGTATCAGCTTCCGATACCGGCATAATTCAGAGATTTCCGATCCATGATGCATGTCTGTTGAAACGTCTCGTGATTTCCTGCCAGCTGCTCTGCAAGTTGGCTTCAAAGTATGGAATGGATTTCCTGAATGGAGGCGTGTCTTATGAGCCCAGAGTAATAAGACCCGCCTCACATTCAGAAAATACATTTCATAATTTGCAGCCAGCTACAACGTGAGGACTGAGTTAGCAACACTGTGGCTAACAGCTAACCAACTTTTCATTGAAACATGTCCGCTGTGTGGAAGTATTTTACACTAAAACACCGCAAGACAGCAACGTGCAATGTCTGCAGAGCCATAGCGCCACATTAAACCGCGGTAAAGTTAGTTTTACGATGGACATTCGAGCTCCGTGGCTTCAGCGGTGCGCTACTCTTGCTCAATCCGAAGCAGGCAGCCCGACCCCGGCCAGCCGCACCCAATCTGCCCCGCTCAGTTTGTCCGTCTCGGAGGAGGGGCAGACTGAGCGCGGCTGTCCAAAATTAGGCTGCCTGCTTCGAACTGAATGAGAAGAGCACACCGCCGAAGCCACGGAGCTCGAATGTTTACTGAGAAGTTTCTAAACTTCATCGTAATTAATGACCAACCGCTATCAGTTGTAGAAAACGAAGGATTTCACAGCTTGATACTTGCAGCTAAGTTTACCCTCCAGGAAATATGTATCAGTACAACAGTAGACAATCATAAAAAAAGCATATGAATTGAAAATTACAAGAAAATTATATTTAAAAAAACGAAACAAAAACAGCTACATTATAAAGCGATGCAAAATACTAAAAACAGGAACAT